TGTTATTGAAGGTCTGCCATGTGTTGAGCTCTGTTCTAGGGGTTGGGGGCATAGCCCACATCTTCCTCTTGGCAAACAAGGTCCTTGCTTTCATGGTGGAATGAAAACAGATACTGACTCTGTCTAGTAGCAGAAAACAGACACGAACTTATCACATAAATCAGATGATGTCAGAAAACGGTTAAGTGATAAAAAGAAAAATACAGGTATTGATCGACTTACGACCTATGCGACTTAGGACCATTCGACTTTATGACCATGATTGCTAGCCACGACTGCTCCGCATCTGGCAGCGCAAACGTTGCCCAGCTGGGCGTACGACAGTGCGGACCAGCTTCTGGCAGCACTACCATCTCCGGGTGTACCATTTCAACTGTACATATAGTCTATACAACTTACGACCAAATCGTGTTACGACCGTTCCGCGGTCCCGACCGCGGTCGTAAGTCGAGCACTAGCTGTAAAGTAGGGAAAGGGATCAGTAGTGATGGGGGTTACTGTTTCAGATGGAGGAGTGGGTAAAGGCTTTGCTGAGGAGGTGACAGGTAAACAGAATCCTGTCTGATGAAAAGGAGGGAGGCATTAAAGATGTGGAGGGAGAATGTTTTAGGCAGGGGGGACGGTAAGTGTAAAAGCCCTGAGACAGGAGTGTTTTTTGGTATGTTCAAGAAGCAGTAAGAGTGCCAGTGTGTCTGAGGGTGACAGTGGAAAAGGTGAGGGTAAAGGCCCTGTGGTTCAGATCCTGCTGAGCTTTGTAGGCGTGGTAGAGACTTTGGCTTTTACTCTAATTCAAAGCGGGGAGTAATTGGAATGTGAGCACGAATAAACAGCAGAGTCTGTTCCAAGTTTTGAAAATATCTGCCTGACAAGGATGCGGTGAGTAGTGAGGTCAGTTGCAGAAATATTAAAGTGACACATGTGAAAGATGACAGAGGGGCGAGAGGTGATCAGCCCAGATCTCATGAACTACAGAGTAAGTGAGAAAGAAAGGAGTCTAGGATTGCTTCACGGGTTTTGGCCTGAAGAATTGAAAGAAGACAGGAAATGATCAAGGAGCACAGGCTGAGAGTTGAGGAAATCAGTAATTCACCTTAGACCTATTAAGTGTGAGATGCCTATGAGCCACCCATTGGCGATGATGAGTTGGCTGACAGCTGGCTATACGTATCTACAGTTCAATGAAGCAAAACAGGAGGAGAATGTTATACCTCCATGTTATCAGCATACGGATGATGCTGAAAGTCATGAGACATCCACTCAGGAGTGAGAGTGGAGAGATCAGGGAGAGAGGAGGGCAGACAATGCCTGGGGTGCTTGACCCGGATAGTGAAGGAAAATGAGGAAGTGAAGCGAGGCAGCAGAGACAGAAGGTAGTGAAGAAGCACATCCTGAATGTCGAGCAGAGACAGTGCTTTAACAGTGAGGGCAGTGATCTTCTGAGTCAGAGGCTGCTGGCAGGTCAGGTCAAACCAGGTCTAAGCACCGGAGCATGCAAAAGCAGGGAGGCAGAATGGAGGAAGGGCTGAAAAACTACCAATCGGGTACTGTGCTCACTACCTGGGTGATGGGATCAATTGCACCCCAAACCTCAGCATTACACAATATACCCACGTAACAAACCTGCACATGTACCCACTGATCTAAAATAAAAGTTGAAATGATAAAGAGAAAAGAAGGTCTAAGAATTTACCATTAGACATGGTACTGTGGATGGCACTGGATTATTCAAGAGCAGTTTAAGTGCTTACAACTTCAGGGTAGATTCTGAAAGCACATGTGTCCAGCATTAATTATTGCGCTCTTGGTTTCTTGCCTTTGTAAATGAGCATTTGAAACTTTCTTTACCCAAATCCCCTTCTTCTCTCTTTTGGCCCAAAGTTCCTTTATTTCCTGCAACTCAGCTCCCTCCTCTCTCTATCATGGAGCCCTTCCTTAACATCTCTAGTCAAATTTAACTCCCATAATGTTCACCTTGTTTCAGAATTATTCATTGGTGACTATGTTTAGATATTTGTTGAGTGGATGAATCCTTGGATTAACAGAAACATGTTATGTGAAACCACATAGAGTAAGACAAAATGCTATGCAAAATGTGCTGTTATTACTGCCAATACTAAAGGCAGCATAAAGAATCTCTAAACAAGAGCATCTCAAAATAGTAACCTGAAGCACAAACCCACAGAATGCTGCTAGGTCTGCTAGCTAATAAAGGGGCAGTATAGCAATTCAGAGTAGTGAGAGAGGACTTGACTGTGGCTTAGGGATCTGGGCCCTGGGCGCAGGGCCCAATGCTGTCACTGAGCCGTGTGACCTTGGGTGAGGCACTTTAAACTTCTGGAACACACTTTCTTCACCTTTGAAGTAAGCAATTTCTATCACATTGTCCCAAAGATCCTTGTGCTTATCAGAGTCCATTCTCATATTAGAAACTAAGTACTGATGTTAAGAGTTACTTGTCCTGTGTCCTTTGTCTCTACTTGAAATATAAAATCTCAAAGGATAGGTCTCATACTTGTCTGCAGGAAGAAGAGAGTCTTCTAAATATTTTTTGATTTAGTAGATCATAAGGATAAATACTCTGCTCTGTAAAGTGTGCACTGCTCAGTGATGTCCCTCTAACCTGCCACAGCTCTCTTCTCTAGTCGTTTAAGCATTCTGTTACTTTATCCCAGTCTGAGTGTCTCTCTTTTTCTTGTTGAGCTCCTCAATGATATACCAGACCTTTGAAGTAAAAATGTACAATTCTTTGGGACCTCTTCCCTTACTTCACTTATTTATTCTGAGTTTCTGCTGTGTGCAACATTCCCATGAACTTCAAGGTTTATGAGCCAACTGCCATCAATCTGGGGCCCCTTGACCCTGCTTGGCTAGAGTTGAGGAAATCAAGACATAGAGACTAAAAAACAAGCCAAGATATTAGAACAGAACTGTCTTGCATAATCCCACCCATAAAACTAGGGTATCTGTAGGAAGGAGATATGTCACTTTAGAGATTCATGCATGGTAAGCTCAGATTTTGTCCTCAGGAAAATCAAGCTGCTATGTCTAAGGTTATCCTGAAGGGGAGAAAAAGTGAAGACAGGGAAGCCAGTTAAAAACTGAAAAAGTTGTACACACAGGTGGTGGTGAGGGCCTGAACTAGGAAAGAAAAAAGGTAGGGTCACGGTATTTTGATGGTCGCTTTGTTAAAGATGGTTCTTAAGATATCACATGTCTTAAGTCAACTCCTACTCTGCTCCAGGTACCAATGCCAGACATGTTATCTTCATGCTGGGAACCTAGGGTGTAGGGGTTGGGATAGAGAAAGACTGAAGACACACATCCAAGCTCAGTGTTGAAGTGCTGGCCTGGAGGTATAAACAGGATGCTAATGGGATGACGGACTGCACAGAGGAGTCAACAGACTTCCTCCCTTCACCTTGCAGATCCTTCTCCACCCTTCTCCCTGGGGCTTTCTGACCAGCCCTCCAAGAGGCCAACCTGCATGGAACACACCAGCGGGTCCCCTTGTTCTTGGTTTCTGGCTGTATATCAGAAGAGCAGTGAGAGGGAGGGGAGAATACTCATTCCTTTCACTCTAGGGAGGTTAACCTTGAGATCATTTTGTCCCTCAGCCAAGAGTCACTGCTCCTGTTGATGTGGTGAACTCTGCTGGACCTCTCCTTTGGGGTTCTGGTTACTACTCCCTCCTTCCCTCCTAGGCCCGACCTGTAACAGCCCTGTTATCATGATACCCTGTGGTTCTCCCATTCCCCAGCCAGATCTTTGTCATTAGTTCCTTTATTCCAGTCTAAGTGTCTCTCTCTTTTTCTTGTTGAGCTCCTAAATGATATACTGGACCTTTGAAATAAAAATGTGCAATTCTTTGGGACTTCTTCCCTTACTAAATTGTGAACTCTTCCATGAGGAATCACATCTTCATTAATCTTAGTTCTATCTCTTCCCACCTCTGCTGTCAAACACAGTTTCCATTCATGGTGGATGTATATCAATTGTTTGCTAAAAGACGTGATTCTCTCCTTGGTGATGGCCATTCCATTGACCCCAAGTGGCCATGCAGGGTTCTGTCTGGAAATGACCTTCTTAGTCCAAATCTCTCACAGGACCACTCAGGGGAGGGGCTGCAGCTCCATTTTCCCCTCTGACTTCTGGCTGTTTTCATCTCACTCTTTCTCAGCTAAGTGGCCAAATGCTCCCATGAAAGTCTCTTCCTGCCCAATACCCTAAAACTGTACTGTCTTCACATCAATGTCAGATGCAGGTGACCTCAGAAAGAACCCTCAATTTCTCTCCACCATAATTTCCAAGATTACAAAACCAAGATAAAAATTATAGTAACTTCATAGAATTACTGGGAAAATAAAAACAAATGTGACATCTTATAACATTTATTGTTTTTCCCTTGAAATACATCAGTGACTATAAAAAATTATCAAGTTTTCTCTACTCCTACTCTACTTTGACTGGTTTCCAAAAAGGAAACACTACTTTAAAACACGAGCAGAATAATAATAACAACTGACATTTTCTGAGCAGTTACTCCCTGCCAGGAACTGTTCTAAGTGCTTTATGTCATTTCAGTTAATCTCCACAAGAACTGTATGCAGTAGAACCTGTTTTATCCTGTTTTACAGATGCAGAAAAATAAAGGCAGATAGGTGAAGTAACTTGTCCAAGGTCAGGAGCCAGAACTGAAACCTAGGAGGCTTGACCAAAGCCATGCTGTTAACCGCTTTGTTATCTGGTCTCATGTGATTACATTCCCTGTAGCATCATTATGACTTGTGAAAACAAATCATAAAAGTACAATGGGCCATGGTGACTTGTGGAAATAAGTGACTAAAAATAGTTTCCACTCTCGTGGAAATTCTTGTGAATTATAATTAAACTTAGGTGTTACTCTCTAAAATTTGAACTTATTTCATTGTGTTTGGTTCACTGAACTGCATTCTTAACATGTGCATAAAGTAAAGAAAACTAGTGACTGGATAGAGTCTCACCTGAACTTAATGCATGTTCTACTTCCTGCATGATCACCCTGGGAAAGGTGGTGGTGGTCTCCGCGTCTATGAGCTCACACATCACGTGGCCCGACACAGTTGTTGGGGGTGTTTTCTCCTGGGGCACTGGCTCAGGCGTGGCATGTGAAGTGGGTGCATGGTCAGAGTTGGACTCCTCTGTCGTGGACTCTGGTGTAGTTGGAGCTCCAGTGGGTTGGGTGCTGGTCACAGTGGAGCTGTGGTTGGTAGTGACGGAGGCAGAAAAAACCTCAGGTGGTGACGTTGATGGGGATGAGGGTGGTGATGAGGCTGGAACTTGAGGGGAGATGAGTGTGGGAGGCTCAGCAGAGGACTGAGACACTGTAGCCGCCACACCTGCTTCAGGAGTGCCTGAGCTGTGTTCCTCCAGTGTGGATGTTAAGTGGACTTCACCGCTTGTTGATGAGAACCCAGGAGATGAAGGGTCTGTGTTTGTGCCTTCCCAATTCGAACCTGGGCTGGTGATCTCTTCTCTGGACTCTATGGAAATGTTCTTAGGAAGCAGAGATGTCGGGGCTGATGCTGTAACTGGGAACTCCGAGCTGCTGTGAGTGCCGATGGTTGGGGAGGCAGTGTCTGCATCAGCGTTTTCTGGAGAGCTAGTCCAGATGGTGGTCGGTGGCGTAATTTTTGCCGGAAGAGAAATGGGCAAGAGAGCTGACGTAGGCAGACTCTGTACCCTCCATCCTGTGGAAGAGCCAGTACAAAAGTGGTTAATATGTGAAAACACAGTAATATATGAAATAAAGGCAAGGCTCTTACTCCACAGCTATTTTACAGCATCTTCACAGGTATTTCTCATTTTGCATTGTGCCCTCCCCAGTTCTGAAGGCAACTTTTAAGAGATTTTCTTCCTACCAATTGCTCTGCAAGTCTCTGTAGAAACCTGCCTGAAACTCAGTAAGAGCAATAAGTAGTTCAGTTCAAGACTAGCCAATGTATGGTATGAACTAATCTTGTCCCCAGCTTGGTTAAAATCATGTCCTCAGAGAGTGAGACCCTCTGGGGGAACTGATTTATGGGAATTTGTCTGGACTGCCAAGCAGCTCCTGTAGGAATACTGGGCTTGTGGACATTGGGAGTGGGGAAGGAGTGGTTGCAGGTGAGTGTGGTCACTGGCAGGAGGGGCTTCAGTCTCGTTCCATCCCACAGCTGAGGAGCTCACTGACTGGATGTTCCCTGTCTTGAGGGCTATCTGTTTGCACTTATGCACAAGGATATAAGGGTTATGGGCCTGCTGGCAGGGACAAATAAATATGTGAACACATTTCCTGTGGAGGAAGAAAAAGGGAGAGGTCCCAGAATACAAACTAGAAAGAGAAATCTGAGGTTTGGAAATATTTTCTGAGACTCGAACCCAAGTGTCTGAAATGCTAGCCTTGGGTCCTTCCCATCATATCATTTGCCAAATGCACTGCTTCAGATGTAAAATTTAGAGCTAGTTTCCATTCTTCCTTTCTTCCTCCCTGTATTTACACACTACCATGGGGACATTTGGTTTTGTTCACTGACTCATTCAATGATTATTTAACAAAGGGTTTTTACGTGCCAGTACTCTCCTGGACATGGGGTTTGTGGTTTCACTTTTTAGGTAAGACATCTCTTGATTGCCTCCTCATATCCCCTTGTCATTCCCTGACTAGCATTTCCCCTAGTCATTTGCATCGTAGTAGATGGAAGCCCCATTCACTAAGTTGCTCGGTTAAAAAACAATATGTCACCCTTCACGCATTTCTTTCCTTCACATCCCACATCAAATCCATCAGTGAGTCAGGGTGAGTCTACCTTGCAAATATAATCCTTATTCAACCACTTTTCACTCTCTCTCTATTATCTCAGCATCCCCTGAGCCATCATAGTCACTAGCCTAGATGACAGCTGATTAGTCTGGATGTGCCCTCCAAATCTCAGGTTGAGATGTAAACTGCAGCGTTGGAGGTGGGGCCTGGTGGGCGCTGTTTTGGTCATGGGGCTGATCCCTCATGGTTTGGTGCTATCATCATGGTAGTGAGTGAGTTCTCTCAGGATCTGGCTGTTTGAAAGCATGTGACACCTCCCGCCTACACTTTATCTTGCTCCCACTCTCACCATGAGATGTGCCTGCTCCCTTTTCCCCTTCCACTATGAGTAAAGCTCCCTGAGGGCATCATCAGAAGCTGTGTAGATGTTGGTGCTATGCTTGTACAGCCTGCAGAACCATAAGCCAATTAAACCTGTTTTCATTATAAATTACCCTGCCTCAGGTATTCCTCTATAGCAACGTGAAGGATTGCCTGACACAACTGTAGTAGTCTTTTAATTGGTCTTCTGGCCCCTAGGTTTCCTCCCTTTTAGACTGCTTTCCACTTAGCAGCCAGCATGATCTTTTATAAAAGCAAATCAGCTCTGTCCTTTCCCTGATCAAAACCGTTCAAAGATGTTCTGTTGTACTTAGAACAAATACCAGAATTGCTTCTCTATGTCGTCTCATGTTCTCATCATCACTTTGGTCTCTAATCAAATGTCACCTCTTATCAAAGGAGTCTTCTCAGACAAGTCTAACTAAATCTTTGCTACTCTAGCCCCTTGTCCATTTTTTAAAAAAAGTATGTTCAGAATTTTTTATTATGGTAAAGTATGCATAACGCTTTACTATTACAACCACTTTTAAGTGTACAGTTCAGTGGCAGTAAGTATATGCACATTGTTGTGCAACCATCATTACTTATCTCCAGAACTTTTTCATTTTCCCAAACTCAAACTCTGTGCCTATTAAACAACTCCCATTTCCCCATGGGGATAGTGAAAAAACAACCAACCATTCTATACTTTACTGTCTCTATGAATTGGACTGCGCTAAGTACCTCACATAAGTTGAATCAATCATATAATATTTGTCCTTTTATAACTGGCTTATTTCACTTAGAATAATGACTTCGAGTTTCATCCATGTGATAGCATCTGGCAGAATTTACTTCCTTTTTAGGGCTGGATAATATTCCACTGTATGTATGTATCACGTTTTGTTTATCTATTCACCCATTGATAGATACTTGGGCTGTTTCCATCTTCGGGTTACCATGAAAACTGCTGCCATGAACGTGGGTGCACAAATACCTGTTTGAGTCCTTGCTGTCAGTTCTTTTGGGCATATTACCAGAAGTGGAATTACTGAACCATATGGGTAATTTTTTGCTTAATTTTTTGAGGAAATGCCATACTCTTTGTTCATTTTTGTTTTTCACAATACCAGAGTGTTTTCCTGAAATTACGTATGTAGTTATTCACTTGCTTACTGTCTCTCTCTTCTACCAGAAGCTCAATGAGGGCACAGTGACCTGGTCTTACTCATTGCTGTTTCCCCTGAGCCTAGGACAGCATTAGGTCATAGTAAGTGCTTAATATGGACTTGTGGGAGAAGTGAAGGTAGAGTGGAAAAGTGAATTAACTCGAGAACCTTATTCAAGAACACTCCAACATCTCTCCACTCTTTTCCACATGTCACTTTAGTTATGGCCACATCTATCATGGCTTCCTCAGGGAGGGCTGCCTACCTGGTATTATTTGAGGGCAAGATTCTTGCTTAAAGATCAGATTCACTCATTTTCATTCCAGCATGACATATGCCTATGACTGATGTCTAGGTAAGTCTTCAACTATTTAACTCTATGTTACACTAAGGATATTTCCTTGACGGCATCAAATAGGTAAAAGCCAACCATAATCAATATTCAAAAGGAATAGAACATGGCCTAGATGCCAGTCAGAGGAAGGGAGAAAAGATCAAAAGGGAAACATTCAAGCACTAAGATAAAATCTGCTTACAACATCATTTGCCACCCAGCAGATTCAAGAGCTAATGGAAGGCTGTGCTAAAGAGTTTATTCTGAATTTAACATTTGGATTACCATCAAAATAACTGGCTTTATTTGTTTAAAAGAAGTTCATCAAGCCCATAAACTTCAGGAGACTTAATTTCCTGATAAAGAAGAGGACAGACTTCCCAACTTAGGCCACATGCTATTCCATGCTGTTATGGTGGTGTTTTGGCAGCTGTGAACTGTCAACAGTTTTCAGATGAATACAGATCAAGAAATCTTTGAAAGATGGACAAAACAACAGTTGAGACAAATATTATTAAAACATGGGATCTTATCTATGACCTTTGGAGCTTACTGGCTTTTCATCCTGGCAGCTGTCATGGCTGATTGAAGATTCTAAGGACAAAAAAAATGAGACCATTTACCATTCATAGCACATAATAGATGATATAATAGATGGGCAGATGGAGGTAGAGAGAACCTCAGTCTATTATTCAAGTCAAAGAGTCTTTGGAAGCCTGAGATAAATGAGGAATCAGTCATCTACAACGAGAACCAACTCATTCATTCATTCATTCCTTCACTCAAGCATTTATTGAGGTTTTCCCTCAGAGAACTCATACTCAACTTCCAGTAATAATGATAGATAAGTACTATATAAAAGTAAAACCAAGTTGTAATGAGAACGCTGAGGAAAGATTAATAAATTCTGTACTGATACCATGGAATGTAAAAATATACAAATGTCATTTTCGAATGACATTTAGAAAAGTCATAGAAGAGATGACATTTGAGTTGCTCCTGAAAGGATAAGAATGCACAAGATGCCACTTAAGATATTTGATGTTCAGAGTGACACCTGCATTGTCATTTCCAGTGGAGCTAGAAGCTATACCGTGGAAATCATTATAGTGCTGAAAATGACAAGCTCTGGGAATTGGATTTGTTGCTGGAAATATCTATTTTCTTGTTTAAGCTTACTAATACACTTTTATAATTCCTACCCTGCCTCATTCTAAAGAGGATTGGAAGTGGTCATTCATTTCCCATAGCTATCTACTGAGTACTTATTTAAAGAACTTTTATAGTCAAGTTCAGGCAATTTCTGCTCCTATCAAACTAACAATGCATGAAATTGTGTGACAGACCTGGTTATCTTCATTTGAACGAGGCTTTAGAAGCCTTCGCTTTGCCTTATTTGATGGTACATTCCATAATACCCTGACTCCTGAGGGTGGGTCTTTTTCCAACACAAAGATAGCCAAGGCTAAGGCACCATGAGTACCCTAGAGAATACGTTCTTAGTCTGCTCAGGCTGCCATAACAACAGAAATTTATTTTTGACAGTTGTAAAGGCTGGGAAGCTCCAGATCAAAGTGCTGTCTGATTCAGTTTCTGGTGAGGGCCTGCCCGTTGGCTTGCAGATGATCACCTTCTATTTGTGTCCTCACATGACCTTTCCTCACATAGCACCTAAGTGAAGACAGAGAGCAAGTTCCTTCATGTCTCTTCTTATAAAGGCACTAATCCCATCATAAGGGCCCCAACCACATGATCTCATCTAACTCTAATTACCACCTAGAGACTCCATCCTCAAATACCATCACATTGGGGGCTAAAGCTTCAACATTCAGAATCACTGTAGAACTTGCGTCTCTGCAGGAATACCAAACTGCTTAAGTCAAAACAGTATGAATGTACACTTTCTCAGGATTTCAAGGAAATTTTGGAGCTAGAAGGGCCTAAATAATAGGTGAGTATAACCCTTCATTTGATAAATGAGGGAGCAGATACAGAGAGGGGAAGTGGTGTAACTGACTTGACACTAAGAGGACGAACCAGACAGTGTCTACCTGGAAAGAACTGTGCAGGGACAGAGTCAGAACC